TGTTTATATGCAGGTACATAAATCGGTCTGCTTAAACCTCTTTTCAACCGATTTCGAAAACGGAGGAGATTCTCAATTCGACCGTTTTTTTTATGTTTGTTACCTCAGAACTTTTTTATTTGAAAGCTGGTGCTTGAGTGGTCCCATATTAATTTCGTTGGTATTGGATCTTGGGCTCCGGAGATACGTAGCGAACTCCTGAAAATCAATTATAAAATGAATACAAGGCGAGATAATTGAAGTCGGTTTTATTTTTCGTTAATAAAAAATTGTTGTTATCTGGGCCTGGCCTTAACTTTCAACTGATGGAGTGCTTTGTTGACACGAATTATTATGATTACATGTAAAACAGTTCCGCGTGTCACGCGAAGATTGATTTTTATTTGTCTCTTTAGAAAGTGTTAAACAATATGCGTCTCGAATCTTATTACCATATATTATACAACACGGGAGTGTGTGAAAACGCATCAATTATGTTGTCTGTTGGTTTATAAATATGTATAGGACATATTGTCTTTATGCAATGACATGCGGATCTTTTTAAACTTTAAAACTCGGGAAAGCGATGCGATGAAATCGGTTGTTAATTGAGCCTTTTTTTTTATTTTTATTCGAAACTGGCCAGAGCTTGACTGCCGCTGATGGTAAGCGCATTAGCTCAGTAAAAGCCTAGTCGCTCTCGCCTTGAAAACGCCTACGTTATCATAGGAAATCGTTTATTAAGGTAACTGAATAACAGCAACACTTAATACAGCCGATGGATAGGGGTGTAAGGCATACGAGACTAAACTAACAGTTAGAGGTCATAGAAGATCATTCTGATAGTTGGTTTAGTACCAACTATCAGAACGATCTTCTTAATGATCAGGATGATCAAATCAAAGAGTTTAACAACACTTTTGGCAACACAAATAACATTTGAAAAGCCGTTTGACATCTGATTAGACGACTTCTACGATGATCAATGTTTCAGAAACCGGGCGTAAGTCCGCGCTCACACACGGCGTGCGAACTCCGCGCGAGCCTCGATAATCTCACGCGCGCTTGTCCGCGCCGCGCCGCGAAAGTAAGCCGGGCTCCGATTTTGTAACTCGCCTCTCCCCCCGTCCGATGATTTATGTCCGCCCGACGACACATGCAGCGTTGCGCCCGACGCCCCTAAAGCTGCGATTTCGCGGCCGCACGCACCGGCGGCCCGAACGCCGCGTTCCGAACGCTCGTTCGTCTTTGTTCTTACCGAAAAAAGAAACAATTGAAATGTGGAGTCTAATTTCTAAGAACGCGTTCGCTTCGAGTTGACGTAGCGATTCCTTTGCTAACTCTACATCGACCACTTCTTCCTTTTTTATGAGTGAATGTGGCAAACGAGCAGGCGGTTAAGCTGCTGTTAAGTGATTTACTTCGAATATGGATATCCATTACAGTACAGTAGCAACGTTTGTTGGTTGAAACTGGTTGCCTTACTCATATGATGATATGCAAAAGTATAAATTTATCATTGACCAGATGATTGACAAAATCTTATTCCAACTACAGCGCAGCAGTTTGAAAAACATGGAGGATTTAAGTGAGTTAAAATGTTGCCATGTATGGAAAAATAACTAAGATATAATTAACATAAAACGTCAGCAATCTCTTAACCTGTTAAAGTTGAAAGTATAGAATGAAAATTGAACATACAATAATTGCCTAGTTTTTCTATTGTTTTGTATGACTATCGGACTAGTGTCTATCGGGGAAACCGTAGTTTTATAAACTACACTACCTATTCGCAGCAAAGTACGTCCCTGCCGCTTCAGAAATGTCCAGCTTAATGCTCTTATTACGTACGGTTTAAATCTGACGCCGAGATCATGTTTTATGCATCCAAGTGCGCGATGAAACCCGCCAGTGTAATATAAAGAGTTCGTCGGAGGGGATCTTCCGAGCTATTGTACTCTTTATTTTTGACCACATAAGCGTGACCTGTTGAGGATTTCGGATTCTTTGGATGCGTTATTAGTTTTCTTAAAAAGGCTCCGTAATGGGATTTTCAGATGTGAAGGCAGCTTACATTCTTTAGATATTATAGATATTTGGTGATCAAATTAACCTTAATTCGCCAGGTGGTTCAAACGAACAGGTGGTTCACTTGATGTGTGGTGATGACCACAATGTAAATATAAGCAAATAAACGCTTTAACGCTCTCGTCGCTTTAAATAATCGAGTACATCTTGTACAAAATAATATAAACCATTTTACGAAAATACATACCTCATCGTGACAGGATTGGGTGAAACGCTGGAAATACTGAGGTTCAGACTGGCTAAAATCAGGAAATCGTTTCCTGGTAGATGTATTAACTTATACAATATAACAGGGACGACGACAAAGTCGACCAATTGACGCAGCAGTTGATAGCGAATACGGTCTGATAGAGTTAAATTGTGATTGACGTTGCTCATTCTTATTTCGAGTTTGATCTCAAGAGTACTTGAAGAGATGGAGATATTCTAAAAACAGGAAGTTTCCTTTGAAGTTTCCCTTTTAATTAAAAGATAATTATTTAATAGTACGACCAAACATACTGTTAGTCTAAAGAATATTTGTATGACTTGTGCATTTAGGTTGCACCATCTTTCCATGATATGGGTGATTTTTATTATATATAACATACAATGCCGGATTAAGCAAGCGCGGGGTCTGTATCAAATTAATTCAAACATCCCTTGATCTGCTATGGGTTCTTAAGCATAAAGTAGTAAAATAACAATTCAATACTCTTACTTATTAAGGCTGAAGCAAAGATGAGTGGGTTTAAATATGCGGGACCTCCTTTGGCGATTTCGAAGCGAGTCCGAAGCAATTGCTACTGTTTCTACGAGGTTAATCCAGCGCTGATAATATCGTTATATTACTCGCATCTATCTTACCTACATTATCGTATATTACCTACATTATCGGGTATCTACATTATTGTACCAAAATGTGGCAGTAAAGTATTGAAATCATAAGAAATAAATTCTCACGGAAACAATCGTCAATTGCCGTTTGGTAAGCCGACGTGTTTGTAATTCATCGAACATTGCGCGGCATTTGCATTCTTGAATGCGTCCCAAAATCCGAGAGCGTTGTTATCAATTCCCCGAGCAACAAGTGGGCTATAACTCTGTGCCCGGCTGCAATAGTGTTGCCACTTGCTGAACAGGACTTTGCCTCTTCTTCAAAGGAAACGACTCGGTTGGGGACACCGAAATGAGAGGAGAACTCCTCAGAGTATATTCGAGTGTACTTGAACTTTGTGATAGAGCTTTTATTGAATAGAACAGCATTAAACAAGTAGCCATGTGTTGGTATAAGATAACTATCATTTGGAACGACATGTCCCGTATAACGGAACATCCATACTGCTTAAACGTTCTTGTTCGACTATCATTGAACTCGTGTAAACATTGCCCGGAATACCCAATTAAATAAACCACGCAAAGGTTATGACGTATGTAACAGTCTAACGGCGATATCTCATGTAATTAGCAACATTTCACCTTAGTGCTGTTCACGCTAAGAGAGTTATTACTCACGTCAGATTGAGCGGCAACCAAATCGCCTCACAACGGATTCGCGTTTCGCTTTTCCCCCTAAAGGTTATGAAATTCAAATTTCCGCGAAACAGTTGTTGGACGGCGTCGCTCGAAATGTAATCCCCGCATTTCGCTGCGGCGGATTTCCGCGAAGTTCGCGTGTTTGTCTTATAAGAAAGCAAGCAGTTTCGCGTGTACCGAAATGGAAATAATAAAGCTCGTAATTTGCTCAGCGAAAGTTCGTTTCGGCTGTTCCGCTCCGACTTGGATTTATGTATAAGGTTACCGTTTAGAGTCAAAGCGGCCGATTGCGATACATATAATGTTTAGATACACCTTAATCGACAGATTAGTATTTCTCCCTTATGTTGTTATTTGGAACATAACTTAAATTTGACTTTATCAACTCTCCGTAAGTGGTGGATGATCGTATTATTTACGCCCGAAACAATAAAACATCTCATTGACTGATTTCGATAATTAGTGTCGCTCGTATATTAAACGAATGTCAAAACAATCGTACTGATAACATTAATTTATTTCTCAATGAATACCAACCTACTATCTGTATAATGTGTTATTGAACTCTGCGTTTAATACTTTTCCTTTTTGCTGCTGGCAAATTATAGAGCGCGGGGCATCCTCTAAACCGTGCATAATAGGCATCGCATCTCCACCGAAGACTGATGGCTACAAAATGAAAAAGGCCCGCGGCGTCTTAAATTATTTTAATTGGCTCCGGTAGCTCAACGGAACGCGCCTTTATGAGTAAACAGACTGAGAGATGCGACGCGTGACGTGCACGACGAATATTGCCAATTCCAGGGGCGAATGTTTGCCAAATCAAATGCCTTTGGCGTCGTAGGAATTGCTCCAATTCACTGATCAATATCAGTTAATTAGTCAATTCACACTTAATTTAAACCGTAATTGGGTTGAACGCGTGTCACGAAAGATGACATTGTTGTATACATTCAGCACAAAGACATTGTGATCCCGAATGTCAATACATTATTCTCGAGAAAATCGTTTCAACACTTATAATTTGTTCTGTGTCTGCGAACAAGTTGAGTTCGGAGTTTCGCTGTTGGCTCGCATTTCTCGGTTATACGGTTCTAAATGGTTTCATGTTTTCCATAAAACTTCGCCGCAACCAACGGCGAAGAGAAATGCCGAACAAGCAAAAACAATTAACAAATTGATAAGCTCAAAACAATTTTCAATTAACTTCGCGCCGGAGTGTACGCCGTTTACAAATAACCGTCATTTATCAGAAATGCCTATGCAGTTTTTAGCGTCGGACTCCTTTCAGGGTTGTCACAAAACGCTACGGGAACGAGTTATTCGTATCATATTCGATATGCGTTCAATTCGTAAATGGCAACTGATGTGAGCACCATAGCGATTAGTTAGCTGATCGTGTCGCTTTTCAATTTCAGAGCGGAAGCGGGGCAGGCAGACCTACACCCGGTACCAGACTTTGGAGCTGGAGAAGGAGTTCCACTTCAACCGGTACCTGACGCGGCGGAGGAGGATCGAGATCGCGCACGCGCTCTGCCTCACCGAGCGCCAGATCAAGATCTGGTTCCAGAACCGCCGCATGAAGTGGAAGAAGGAGAACAAGACCAAAGGCGAGCCGGGTTCTGGAGACGAGCCGGACAACATGAGCCCGCCGACTTCACCCCAGTAAGCCTCCGGATGGCGTCCGGACGTTTCCAGGCCAACGTGACACCGGACTTTGTTCTCACACGACGTCGCTCCGCACATCGGGACGCTGGAACAAGCGAACTTGGCGGCCGCACAGAAGTTTCTAGAACTTTGATTTGTATAAATCGTATGTTGGACTTTTCACGATAATATTACATTATAACTAATACGTAACTTAGTGACTTTGCATAAAGAGTAACGATAGTGCGACGAAGAGATTTTTACAGTTGTTAAGTATAAATTTAATTTATAGAAACACTCACAATACCAATAATTACCAAAAAAGCAGTGTTTAAATATTAGTAAAACTGCATCGTTTATGTGATTCCTTATAGTTGGGTTTATTATTTGAGAACTGGACAAAAGAATATATTTTTACTCTGTTGCAATTGATTTCTTCCATTTGTTTCTGCCAAAGTGTTCGATTTTTAGTCTGTGCCTGATTGAATTTCACATTTTATACTTTATTACATTCTACAACAAATTTTACTTAAAAAACACTATTCGAGAATGAAAAGTTTTAACATTTTTAAGGACTTACTCGAGCACTTTGTCAAGAAATTTTATGTTTCACTTCAACAAATCACAAAACCATAAGGACCTCTTATAATTAACCATTGATAAGAAGGCAATTAGAATCGATATTGTTATTATTTAATATATTTGAAGTTTTATTTCTAATTAAGCTATCAGAATGCTATTATGTACATATATAAAACACGGTAACATTTAGAATTTATAATTATGTACAATTGTTTTAGTGTGAATAATATTATTGAGATTAGTTTTTTCTTTTTATTTTCGAAAAAGAAAACATCTATTGTTTCCTTTTGTTATTTATATTTAAATTCGTCAAGAATGAGTGTTCATTTTGTGGATTTTCTTTATGTTTTTTTTTTATACCTTACACTTCGTAGAGGGAAGGCCAGTTTATACAAGTGCAATGTATACGATTTTTCGAAGACAACATTATACGTAATTAATGCTGATAATAATGTAATACAAAATCTAATGTTATTATTGTAAATTTAAATTAAACTAATGTCTCTCGATGTCATTACAATGGAATGTTGTACACGAACAGGAACGTCGTGCCATTTAAAGCAACCGGGGTTTGTTGAGAACTTTTTCAAAGCCATTTCGAAACTAAAGGAATGCGGAAAGTGAGTTACCTTCGAATCTCGTAGATGTGACATACTTACTCCTTTTTGTGGGGAGATCGGTAGAGGACAGTATACCAAAGTTAGGAAATATACCGCTGGCTCATATGGTTCTCCCATATCCACGTACTTAGCGCGTGGACATCGCTTGGCCGCAGTACGTCTCAATGACAGGTAACAAGAGGTATTTTTATAAAAATCATTGCCTAATGTAACGTATATACGTAAAGAGGATAATCGGAACTTTAAATATTTACAATTAAGGTCGATAGTTTTACGACTAAAAGAGACGGGGTGCTTCGATGTTCCATCGAGGAAGAGTCTCATTGTACCCACTATTTAGCGCTAATGTAAAATATTTATTGTAAATTTTTTCTTTCCTTTTCTCACGGATAGTAATGTAACTAGTGAACGTTCTGAAATTAGTTAACCCTGAGCCCCGTTTACACATCTTGTTTTGTGCTGTGCTCGTTATGTAAGTGTAAATTGTAATAACTGTATATTTTCATTATTTACACGATATTTATTTATTGATTCGCTTAATTAGGTCGGTACTGTGTTCGCGGATAGTTCGGCCGTCTGGCTGGGATGTTTTTCGTTTACATAATCCGTGTAAAATTTGCTCAAACCCCGACATGTTTGTGTTGTAACGTAGCAGTAAGGAGGTCTCATTCTCGTTTAATACAAGAATATATTATATTTTAACCTACGACAAGTATAATAAACTGTGCAATGTTCCAGGTGTGCAAAAAATTCTTTGAGTCCCTTGCCAGATGGATTATACTAATTTGAACTTGATTTGTAAAGTTTTTTTTAATATGAAATGTAATTAAATTAATTGCAAACTTTACTATTAAGTTTTTAAAATAAGTGCAGACATCTGTCCTGAGAGTTTCTTATAAAGTCGAAATTAGGCCCCGTAGAGGTTATGAGGCAAACATTTTGAATTGTTTCATTTACCATCGTGTCCTATCAATTCAAAATTTATGAAATATAACTATAATTAGTAACTTAATAAGATTAGGCGAGACGATATTGTCATAAATATATAAATACATGAAATTAATAAAGCATAATGATTGTAATTGAAGATTTTTATTCTATACCCGATATATACATTAAAAATAATAAAATATTTATACATAAAAAGATAAGTTAGATGCTTTGAAACTTAGTTAATTGTTCATGGGGTTTGTTGTATATTATAAAAGTTAATTAGCGTTTAGTAAGTATTTATAGTAATAATAATACAAACTTTACTTCAGACCATAAATCTATGCTTACAGATTTATATGTGTTAATTAAAGATTAATATTACTTATTATGTGTGTAATAAATTCTGTATTAGAACAATTCCAATTTATTATATAAATACTCTGCCTGAATTTTATAATATGTCATATTTACAATATTTGAACTAATTTAAATGAAATCATAAATAATTGAATAATCGTATCTTGTGTTGTGTCCCCAGGTCTTAAATTTTATTCAGTAATAAATAATGACGCTGTTTCAACAAACGGTAATAACGTATTATTTTTAATCTATTTTCAATAGGCAGAACTTTTTTTAAACACTGGCCAGTGCAATCGATACGTTATGAGAAAACATATCATCATCATAGTGTTCCATTTTCATAGCGGACCGTATACCCGAGGTATTCCGTTACAGTGAGCATTTCCCTAACGAGGAAATAATGATTTCGCGTGATATGGGCTCGGCTCTTTCGGTGTCAGTCACGGTTGATTGGCCCTGCTCCCCTCCCCCGCCCGCAAATCTGGAAATTGCCTTTTTTCCCCCGTTCCGAAACACGAACAGGGTTATTTATGCGGCTAGGTGTGGCCGGCTCTAATGACTTTTTAATAATCCCTCGCGTCCAATGAGCGCTGAAGGCAAGCCATCGCTCTCCGCGTAAGGTGAAACTAATGCGATTTTGACAAGTTCGAAATTGTTGTAATTACGCATCGCGGGGTTTTAAATGGCCGCTTATTTGTCTGTTGGACGTTCCAGTAATGCAATAGGCGCTGCGGAAGTTGTTCCTTCGTGTTTTTTTTATCAGTCAAACGCCCTACGATATACGTTCTCCTTCGAACCGACTTTTTTCTCCTCGATGATACATGATTTATGTTTATTAGTCGGTGAATATTAAATTTAGTTTTATGTAATCTTTTCTGGATAATTTTTAAAAATAAGATGGTTCTTGGCTAAGTGGAAGCATCGAATTTTTCATCTGTTTTCATATTTAGAAGTTTTAGGTGTAGTCTCGTACATTGTCACTTATTCATCGGTCTGCTGTCAAATCAGCGTAGCTACGAAGCTATCTGTACTCGTCCGTACCTATTCGTGGAGCGTGTAGTTAGATTCGTGAGTACATTACGTATGCGATGGATCAAAAGGTCAGCGTAAATTGGTCAGTCAGTCATCCCGGGCCGCGGTGACACCAAGTGTTATTTATGTGGCTCTCCTTCAATGTGTAGAACGTTGCACTTGCCACAGATTGGGTTCACGGTCGCGGCGATATGATAACGCTTTTTGTGTCGCATGTACCATTCAACATTGGGACGCGCGATAATTTCTCGATTCACTTTTTAAACTTTATAGTTTTATTTTTATTCGGCCAGTGGAACATTTTTTTAACAAACCTAAAATGAGGTTGATTGGTCGACTCATATTTTAAAAGGAAACGTATTTTCGTACACATTAAATTAAGGGTATAATTTTTTTATTGTTATTAATATAATTACATTGCTCATTTATTTGATTGTCCCTTTTGATTTTTAGTAGGTAATTTATAAGTAACAATAACATAGTCATAGTTTCTTGTTACTTAGGTGTTAGAAGTGTTTGGTAGAAATTGTTGTATTTAATTTATATAACTAATTTCGTCTTATTTTTTAAATGCTCTATTAAAATTGTTAATTGGCTTGTTTGTTGTGAAATAATAATTTACTTCTTCTTTCGATCTCTTAATTTTGGTAATGTATTCATGTTAGACGTCAGTTTCTAATTTAGATTTTTATAGAGCTAATCTCTGCACTGCACTTAAGATGAAATATTAAGGCTTGTAGAAAAAATAGGCGAAAATTTTTTCTTGGCTGCGGGAATCAAACCTACATCTACCGGAATGAAAAGTCCTAGGTGCGAATCTGGATTACATTGGTTCGGTTTCGATTCTCGAAGCGGCAAAAACTTTTCGTCCATTTTTTCGACAAATTTTGACAGTTTTTAATGTTTTTTTTTTGCATCCGTTTAATGCAATAGATTTCAATGATCTCATCAACACTGAAAAGGAATTGAAGCGATAGGATTTCGAAATAAGTGATTATGACTGAATGTTTAAGAATATTTACTCAGTTTAAGTATATTAAATAACTGTTCACTAACTCATAAGCTATAACATTTCAAAGATTGTTTTTCGATAGCAATTTGCAATAATAATTTGCAAAATAATGTACATAACAAATAAAACCGTCAATATTTGCATCCCCCGAATTCGCTTGCATAATAAAGTAATATGCACAAAAAACTCCATGTTGGTCCCCGAATGTATTAAAACCGTTGTCTCGCGATGAAGACATAAATCAAGATTCTTGCCGCGACCTTGCCTCATAACGTTCAATTTTATTGACTGTAATAAACTAAAGCAATGGTTAAATCAACACCGTTGTATCAGTATAAACACGTCGTAAATATCTCGTTACTCTTTCGCACTGCTACGGTATTGCGTTAGTGCAACAAGGACGCTCGGTGGGACTCCTCATTCCGCTGGTACAGAAAATAGTTTACGAGCGCTAAGCTGAATTGTTGCCGAGCAAATTTG